GAAGATTTGTCAAGCTTTAAGTATAATGTTAAACTTGGTTGAGCACAACCCTGTAAAAGTGAACTCATATGTCATCGCACCTCGTGAAGTTTTGAAAGAACTATTGAAACTTTTGACAGAGGCAGACGATATAAACATCAAAGAAATAGAGCCCGACATTGCTTGCTGTGGTGTTTCATATAATGTCATTGACAAGATATACGTTATGAAAGGAGGTGAAACGTTGAACTTAAAATATAGTTTCCCAGACGTCATAAAAATATTTGACGACCACAACATTTCATTAAAGTTTACTTGCTAAGTAAAAATGGCAAAACTTCTTGAAAGATGTTTGAAGAAAAACAATATAGACTTTATTTCATGTAAAGGACTTTACACACTTTTGAACGATATGAAAGACCCCTGTTTTGTTTGTTCGTGTAGACAAAGGAAAGTTCTATGTCTTTACAAAATATTTGAACTTCTTAGACAGAGAACTTCAAGAAACGCCATGTGAAAGTTTAGATGAAGTTCTTCTCCACTTTCAGAAAAACTTTTAAATATATGTAAATGGCAGAAGACATAGTGGTTTATACTATTACGACTAAAAACCCTGAGTCATATAATTCTATAACAACAAACTTACAAAGTCCTCAAGGACGGTATTGTAAACTGACCTTAAACACGATGACGACTAAAGCCTGTTTTGCTCTTTTGACACCAGAAGACTTTGTTGTTGTGAATGGTAAAAAATACTTCTTTGAAGATACTTACTCAGATATACCACAACAGGTTTTGTTGACTTATTTAATACTTTAAGGACGAGTGTAACATGTGCTGCAACTAGAGCAGGTTTCATTATGTTTGGATGTCCGACTGAGTTTAGTATAAACGATATGAGCTATAATACAAAACTTATATCTGGTTTTTACTACCAACAGTTTCCTATAACAGGAAAAGGTGTCATACAAGGAATGTCTGTTCCATTGACTTTAAGTACACCTATTTTATATATTGTTTCAAATTTAGGTTCAAAGTGCTATTCGAATGTCGACAGAAACTACTATGACCAAAAGATACTCATGCGTATAAACAACACTTTCTCTGCTGGTTTGCCTATTGTTCATTCAAATGCAGAGTTTTCAGCTTTAGTGAACTCAAACACTTTAGCAAACATAAACTTAACCTTAGTTGACGCAAACTTTGTTCCTGTAAAACTTTTATGTCCTATGTATTTGTCAATGACGGCAGAAAGTTTCGAATTGGAAGATGCAACTGGTGAAAGTATTGTATTACAAGAACAACTTCAACAACAAATAGCTCAAGAACAACAAATGCAACAAATGGAACAAATGCAACAACAAAGTCAAGAATAAAAAAATAATATTTTTTTTATTTTTATAAAAATGTACAGAATAGATGTTTCAGATTTTTATGACTTCCAAGCGTTCAGAAATATGTGTCCATTTAGAGACTATAACAAAGCAGTCGAGAATTTGAAACGTTTAGTCATTTATGTCGACTCTGCCCCAGAATGTTATGTCATGAAAGAATGGGATGTTGTCTTTAACAAACCAAGAGCAACAATAGTTTCAGAACAAGAATGTAGACAGAAACTTAAGAAAATAAAAGTCGTACAAGTTGGTATGAAGATGTTAGATGCTTGGGATATCTTATTGTCAAAGTTAGAAGATTTTTCAGTTCGTGGTATAAAGTTCTATACACCATCTCCAAACTTCTATTCTATCTTCACTGGATATAAATACGAACAAGTAGAATGGAAAGAAAATGTTATAGAAGCTTGTTAGCCATGTCAAAGAAATTATATGCAATGAAACGAAAAGGTTTATGAGTATATCTTATGTTGGTTTGCAAACATCTTACAACATCCAAGTGCTAAAAATGAAACTGCTCTCATTATAATTGGAAAACAAGGAACTGGTAAGAACACTTTCTTTACAGATATTGTGCAAACTGTTAGAGGGCTATTCGAACCCTAATATGACAAACTTAGAAAACATCTGCGGTAAATTTAACTCTTCAATAGAGAATATGAAACTTATAGTTTGCAATGAACTTCAAAGTATAGATACAACAAAAGTTTTGAACTCAGATGCTTTGAAGAGTCTTATAACAGACAAAGTTGGAGTTGTTGAAAGAAAGTATAAAGACCAAAGAGTTTGTGAAAATGTTGCAAACTTCATTATGGTTTCAAACAATACTGTTCCGATGAAGTTAGAAAGTTCTGACAGAAGATATGTAGTTGTCAGAACGTCAGATTCTCATATGCAAGATACAGAATATTTTGACGACTTAGCAGAAACTTTGACACCTAACTTTTACAACCACTTGTTCTCATATTTCATGACATTAGATATTTCTAACTTCAATCCAAGACAAATTCCATATACCGAAGAAAGACAAACATTGTTAGAAGCAAACAAGAGTGTATATGAACTGTTTATAGATGAGACTAACTTTGAGTGTTTAGATGAAAGGTCATTGTACGATTCATATAAACAATATTGTCAAGAGTATGGTTATATGGCAGCTTCTAAACGAACATTCTTGGCAAATGTCAAAAATCTTTTAGACATACAGAACGGCGTATATACAAAGAAAAATTTTTCTGAGTAAATTTTAAAAAAATATTTTTTTATCCGATAGAAAAGATGACGAAATATATTTCAGTCAACAAGTACATGACAGAAGTCAAAGAAGAACTAGACCCATTCACATATTTGAATGTTTACTTCTACCATTTTGAAAAGTCTACATTTGACAAAGTTTGGAACATCGAACCAGTTAAGTTTGCTATTGTGACTAAAAATGGTGCGAAATTTGAAGACTTAGACATAGAAGGTTTGTTAGCAGTCAAAGAAAATTTTGACAGAAGGTTTTCAAACCTTAAAGAAGGCAAAGCATACAAACTTGTTATACCTTATGAACCAAAGAAAGCAGACGACTATGAATATTATGAGTCTAAGATAGTTGAAGTTCAAGGTAAATTGGGTAAAAAGATTTTAGAGTCTAAGCCAGTGTTTGCTCCTAAAGAGGAAGAGAACATTGACATTGACCCAGAAATGTTCTAAAAATAAAATTTTATTTTTACATGTCATATCTCCCCTTCTCTGGAACTGGCTCTGGTTCTTTCTTCTCTTCTTCTACTTTCTTTTCTTCTACTTTCTTTTCTTTCTTTTCTCTCTTCTTCTTCTTCTTCTCTGGTGGAGTTATGTCAAATTTGGCGCAACCATATTTATGTAAAAGTTCTTTGTCCTTTAATAGCTCTTCTATTCTGTTTCCTATTTCATCTTCAAGAACAGCGCATGTGTCTTCTTTGCATTCTAAGAACTTTTGTTGGACTTCATCTTTCCAATCGGCGTCATCTCTGTCAACAAGTCTGTCATTGACAAATTTTAAGACTGCTCTTTGTAATGTTTTATGGTTCTTGTCATATTCCCAGAAACAGAACTTTAGAACAAATTCACCTTTCTTGTTTACACTATGTAAGATTTTATGGTCGACAGATGTTTTGCTGTCGAAAAGTTTGTCTCGAATATAGATAGCGAAATCGCTAGACATTTTCAAAAAGATAAAAATTTTAATTTTTCTAAAAATATGTTAGAAAAAAAGTTTGCTGACATTGACAAGAAATTTGAGAATGTTTTAAACAAGAACAAGAGGAAGTTAGAAAATGCTCAGATAAAACCCATACATGACAAGTTCTTATTTGCTCAGAATGGTATAACAGGTCTAATTGCACCGCCTGGGTCGGGCAAGACTTTCACTTATCTTAAAATGGCTGCACAACAACAAGAACTAGATGAGATGAACCCATTCTATGAGTTAGTAGTCATTTGTAGTACTTCGGGTCAATTTGACCAAACCGTCAATTCGTTCAAAGATATTATAAAGAAGTCTAAGTTAGTATGTATAAAGGATACTGAGTTGTTAGATTGGATAAAGAAGTACCAAAGAAGAGTTTTGAAGTATAATGCTATAAATGAGTATATAAATTCTAAGTTTAAAGACCCAAATGAGGAAATGCAGAGAATATTAGAGAAGAAACACTTCAGAAACAAACAGAAAGAGATAGAATACATTTCGAAGAAATTGCAATCTTACGATTGGAAGACTTACCCTCATAGGTGTCTTCTTATCTTAGATGACTTTGCTTCTCATCCTTTGTTAAAGAACAGAGAACAAGACATGTGTCGAATTCTTAAGAAACTTAGGCACTTTAACATCTCAGTTGTCATTTGTGTACAGACAGCAAAGAGTTTAAGTAAGGATGTAAAGAGAATACTTACTGATATCATACTTTTCCCTGGATTGTCCGAAGACGATTTCATGGAACTTATGAAAGAGTCCATGGCAGGTAAGTTTGACAGACATGAACTATGGGAGAAGTACAAAGTCATACAAGACCCTCATACTTCTTTCAGAATTCATATCTACGCAAACAAAGTTCAAATTGTAAAAAGTCAAGCTTGAAAAATAAAGAGTTTTAGTCTTAGTCTGTTGTGGTGCTGGGGCTGTCGGTTCTTCTGGCTTTGGAATGGACTCGGTTGGTGGAACGTCAGTCATTCGTTTGTGTCCTGTCGGAAGGAAGGACTTTTCCTGTTGGAAGGAAGAACTTTTTCCTGTCGGATGGAAGGACTTTTCCTGTCGGAAAGAAAAACTTTTCCTGTCGGAAAGAAAAACTTTTCCTGTCGGAAAGAAAATTTTTTCCTGTTGGAAGGAAAAACTTTTTCTGAAGGTCGGCCAAAAAGTTCTCAATTTTCGAAAATTTGAATGGTTTACGGACGGACAACTGGAAAAACTTTTCCTGTTGGAAAGAAAAACTTTTCCTGTCGGAAAGAAAAACTTTTCCTGTCGGAAGGAAGGACTCGGAATGCCAGAAGGAAGGACTCGGAATGCCAGAAGGAAGGACTCGGAATGCCAGAAGGATTTGACAAGGCAATTTAACTTATAGAGCTACCTGAGCCATCTGAAGTCAAGCGTAAAAATAAATGGTTCATTTACTCTGCTTGTTTGAAGTTGTCAAAATACTCTGTTATTTTTTCCTTTAACAATGGCAAATCTTCTTTGAAGGTAAGAATTGTACAACCTTTAATATCATAGTGTGTTTGAGGTAACGTATCTTGAACTATTTGTTTCACATCTTCATTTGGAGTCATTGAAATCGGTAAGTTTTCGCGATAGAACCAATTTCTGTCAGATTTGTAAATCTTAGCAAGGTCGTAAAAGCTTTTGTTGTTTCTTCTGACTAAATGCAACATAACCATATCTTTATCTTCTTCATTTTCCATCTCTTCAGTATAAATCATATACTTATAGTTCTTTTCCTTTCCTTTTGGTACCGAACGTGGTATTCTTTTCTGAATGCTTTTGTCTTCTTTCATTATATCTTCTCTCTGCTTTGTACAAAGTTCGTCAAGTAGCATAAGTATGTAGATTGCATAACGAGGTGAAGCCCACATTGCTATTGAACTAACTAGGAACTTATGAACATATATACCTTTTAGATGTGATGGTAAGTTTTGTCTGTCTTGGTACATCTTTTTAAGTTCTTCATGTTCAAACTCACTGAGGAGTTCATGAGTGCTATTTAATTCAAACCAATCGTCTGCGTGTTTGGTATCTGGAGCAAAACATGCAGTCAAAATACTTTGCATTTGGTACATATCGTCTTTGACTGAACGAATGAGTCTCAATTGTTTGTTATACTGAACCCACTCATATTCTTCATTTATAGCTTCATGAACGATAGCAGTTGTTGTGTTCTCTGTTGTTGACATATCTGTTCTTACATACAAAATAAAAAAAATATTTTTTTAAAAATTAGCGTTATTTTTTTTAAGTTTGGTCATCCTTCACTATATGACAAATATACTATATTTTGCTTAAAAATATGCAAGCGGCTCATAGCTCAGTGGTATGGGCTACCTCGCTACAGGCGTCGAAGACCTCGGTTCAAATCCCGATTCGCGCAGGTTTTTTCCTTTTATGCAGTGAAATTTCATGTACATAGGTTACTTTGGTGTTAGACCCTAGTGAAGAAAATAGAACGATATAAGTTTACATTTGTAAGGCTACTTTGGTGTTAGACCCTAGTGAAGAAAATAGAACTATATAAGTTTACATTTGTAAGGTTGGACGATAAAATTTACTGACTGACGTCGGACATTGTCTTGAAAAAGTAAAAGACTTGTCTTGAAAAAGTAAAAGACTTGTCTTGAAAAAGTAAAAGACTTGTCTTGAAAAAGTACGGGTATCGTCTGAAATCAAGACCACTGTTCTCAAATTTGAGAACTTTCCACCAAAAAATTTCTTGAAAAAGTAAAAGACTTGTCTTGAAAAAGTAAAAGACTTGTCTTGAAAAAGTAAAAGACTTGTCTTGAAAAAGTAAAAGACTTGTCTTGAAAAAGTAAAAGACTTGTCTTGAAAAAGTAAAAGACTTGTCTTGAAAAAGTAAAAGACTTGTCTTGAAAAAGTAAAAGACTTGTCTTGAAAAAGTAAAAGACTTGTCTTGAAAAAGTAAAAGACTTGTCTTGAAAAAGTAAAAGACTCGTCTTGAAACAATGACCGACATAGACCCAGCAGATGAGGCAATCTACCTTATAGAGATAAATGAGCTAGTTAGGAACTACCTGAGCCATCTGAAGTCAAGCGTAAAAATAAACGCTTTACATGTATTTTTCAGCAACTTCGTCAAATAATTTTATAGCACTATCTATCTCATCTACTTCAAACGTTTCTTTACCTTTCGTGGGAGCACCATACATTTTCTCAAACTTTTCGAGTAGTTCTGTTTCAGCAGCTCTCATATCGTTAACGAACACAACCTTAACTCTATTGACTGTAGAGTCATATCTTTTAGTTATATTAAATGTTCTTCCTATCTTATATCTCTTTGTATTGAAGTCCTTCGGTTTCTGAACGATGTAAAGTAAGCCTTCACTGCAACGTTCCGTATCGAATGAACCATAAGTTATGAAGTTATATCCAACAACTGGGTCTAACCATAACAAAACTATTGGTATAAGACTTTTGTCTATAAGATATGCTGTAGTTCCATAGAATCTTACCGATATCATAAGCTTAGGATTTCTTGTCAAAATTTTCTGACTAGAAGCAGTTCTAACCCAGTCGTGGGATGTTTTCTTTCCAAATGGAGATATAATGTCTGACAAAGAATATTTGTTGTATTTCTTTGAGTATCTTACGTTTAAATCACCTATTCTAACCACTTTGGTGTCATTGTCTATCTTTCTAACTGTTTCAAACTCAATGTTTAACATTTCTGTTCTTACATACAAAATAAAAAAAATATTTTATAAAAAACTAACTTTATTTTTTCTATCTTAAGGAAATTCATGAAATTTCATACGGAATTCAATAAAAATAATGTTTATGTTAGAATGTTAGATCTAACATGTTTTCTAACATGTTTTCTAACATGGTCTAAAACATACAAAACTCATGAAATTTCATACGGAATTCAGCAAAAATAATGTTTATGTTAGAATGTTAGATCTAACATGTTTTCTAACATGTTTTCTAACATAACTATTTACAAGCGTTTTACATGGTATATGTTGCGATGGTTCATGACTCTAAACAATTTCGTGGCTTCAATTTCTTCTTTTAGTACATCGAATGTTTTAACGATACCGAAAGTTTCTTTATACTTCTTCTTGACGTCAGATAGAAGGAAATCTTCTGCTGTTGGATAGTTTTTGTTCAGAAATTCTAACATGTTCATTTTATCTTCTGCTGGTTTTTCTGCTTCTTTCTTTAAATCTGCATAGTCGTTTCGCATACGTTCTATCTCTTTGACGGAGTAGTTATATTTCCTCATTGCTGCTTTACATTTTGAACATTGTGGGTTCATTTTTGCGTTATATTCTGAAACCTTACCTGCTAAAACAACCAAGGCGTCAATGGTTTTCTTCATCTCGAACATAGCGGGTCTTATTTGTTCGTTCCATACCTTACCCCTACTATCTTTATCTCTTATTTCCCAAACACATTTTGCAACTAACGAAACAAAGTTGTCGTAGGTCTTAAACTCCCCAGATTTGTAAAGGTCAGAGATGTTCTTATATACCATGTCGCAATCTTTGTCCATAACCTTATGGTTGCAATGAAAACCAAGGAATTCATAATTTACCTTTCGTATGAACTTCTTTATTTCTACTGAGTCAGTTGCTTTGACTTCTATTTCGTCAAATTCGGGAATGGTTAGTTTTTGTTGTTGGATTTCAGGAAGTTTAGGTAAATGGTCAATAATATCCTGCATTTCATAAAGATACTGTTCATTTGTTTCATCTTTCGCACTACAGTCTAAATTACTTGTTAAAAGTTCTTGCTTTATCTTCTGGATTTTTGTTTCGAAAGTATATGAAGAAGGAATGAAGCTTTTCATCTCTACTAACATTGAAGTTGGATTCATGACTAACGAGTTTGGTGAAGTTGTTGCTAACATGTTCTTACAATAAAAATAAAAAATATTTTTTTAAAAAAACTAACTTTATTTTTTATTTCGGGAAAACTCATGAAAATTCAAGAGTTTTGGTTGAAAAATACGGTGGAGCCAAAAGTGGCTCGACCTCAAAACAAGCATTTTGTGAAGAATATAGCAACCGGAAGAAAACCGGCGGTTGGTTTTTATACAAAATTCAAGAGTTTTAGACCATGTTAGAAAACGTGTTAGAAAACATGTTAGATCTAACATTCTAACATAAATTATATTTTTGGTGTAAATTTCATGAAAATTCAAGAGTTTTAGACCATGTTAGAAAACGTGTTAGAAAACATGTTAGATCTAACATTCTAACATAAATTATATTTTTGCTGAAAAAAAATGGTTCATTTACTCACAATATTTTTGTACAAAACGACCCCAAACTTTTAACTTCTTTTCTGCAGCTTCTAATGAAATTTTAGCGAGTTCATATTCTCTAAATTCTCTCTTTAAATCTTCTTGTTCCCATTGGTCTAGTTCGTATGGAGAATCTCTATAACCAGAACATATCTCACGTTCATGTTCTATTTGTTTTTCATGCATTTTTCTAACTTCTTCTTCAAACAAAGGTTTTGCATTCTCTACTGTATCTTCAAGTTCTTCTTCATCTAACTTCTCATGAACTTTCTTGTCTATGGAGTCCATAATTTTTCCAACTGCTATACAATATTTTGGAGAAGCCCACATTGCAATATAGTTTACGAGTCTTGGGTCTACATACGTTCCTCTAACCTGCTTGATTTCATCGGGAATTCCTGCATTAACATTGTATAAAAAGCACCCGCCGGAATTCCGACGGGTGGTATATTCTTCACAAAATGCCTTAAAATACTCTTCCCAGGACTTATTTTCCAACAACTTTCTAAAGTCTTTCCTAAACTGCTGACACATATTTGTTGCATTTATATAACCATCCTTGTCTCTACGTAAGACTTCAATACCGTTGTAAGTGCCTTTTGTGAATGTTTCGCCATTAGATTTGTTCGTGAACGTTTTTGCTTCGACTGTCATTTCAGTTCTTACAATAAAAATAAAAAATATTTTTGAGTGGCTTAACCGTCGGACATTCGTTTGTGGCTTAACCGTCGGACATTCGTTTGTGGCTTAACCGTCGGACATTCGTTTGTGGTTCGACCTCAAAACAAGCATTTTGTGAAGAATATACCAACCGCCGGAATTCCGCGGGTTGCTTTTTTATACAAAATTCAACGGGTGAAAGAATACGAAGAAGTCTATTTCCTGTGTTGTTGTCAAAATGTCATGTTGTCACCATTTTCAAAAAGATGTTAGTTGACCTGGTGACCTGGTGACCTGGTGACCTGGTGACACCTAAAATATATTTTTGCCGAATTCAAGAGTTTTGGTTTAAAAATACGGTGGAGCCAAAAATGGCTCGACCTCAAAACAAGCATTTTGTGAAGAATATACCACCCGCCGGAATTCCGGCGGTTGCTTTTTTTATACAAAATTCAATACTTTTTCAGCACTTTTCCGTAGTTGTATATGAAAGACAATTCGGGATGAAATTTCTTCATCTGAAAGATTTCTACCAGTATTTGTAAAGATATAGTCTAACGGTTTTGTATCTGCTACTTTTGTTCTTTGTTTTTCAACCTGAAACATTTAATATATGTAAAAATATACTGTTTTAAAAACGTTTTATTTCATGCAATGTTTTATTTCATGCAATGTTTAACTATTTCTGTGCCGTCTTCAAGTATACCCCAGTACTTACGCTTGGAGAGAACATGAACTTCGGAAAATACCTTGTCTAGCTTAAAACAGCCCATTTTCTCACCAACTAAACCCATTTCAATGAGTTTGTTATAGCCTTCTTCGTTCGTCATGAGTGCGTCGATGTTCTCATAGTAAACCACAACTTTGGATTTGACTTCGGAGAAGAACTCATTGTAGTTGTCAAGGACTGCCTTTGCGAACTGAGGGTATGTAAGACTTTCGTTCAACCTGAAACATTTAATATATGTAAAAATATACTGTTTTAAAAACGTTTTAAAATGGTATGCCATATAGCTTCTTGAATTTGTTAAGATATAGTCTAACGTATTTTCCATCTGTATCTCTAGCGTTTACATAAGCACAGCCTTCCTTAGTAAAACATACTTGTAATTTCCTATAGTTTACGCCGGTATAAAAGTAGAAAGAGTCCTGTTCTTCGCTATAGTAGTAAAACTCCAACGTATGCTTGCCATAGTCTGTAATTTCAATTGCTTCATCTTCTAGTTCGTCGACAAATTCGAATACAATATCTCGAAATTTGCCTATGTTCTTATTGTTTTCAGAACGAGTGACCCAACGTAAATTTTCAAGTCTATTGTCATTTCTTATATGGTTTATATGGTCTACAAAAGGTAGATTGTTAGGGTTCGGTATAAAATGAGTTGCAATGACAACATGTTTAAGATAGTGTTTTCCACCCATCTTCATAATAGCATATCCTTTATTCCCCTCCCATTCGCTTAAAACTCTTTTTGTCTTTTTGTTTCTGACTTCAAATGACTCACAACAGTGAATTTCATATTTCTCATCTAACAAACAAGTTTCCCAACGGTCTTCTCCAACAAACTCAGCGTACATTTCAAATAAAATAAAAAAATGTTTTTTATAAAAATAAAAAAATATTTTTTTCTTTACTTTACATAACCGCCTGCTACCAGAAGCCTTTGACGCCAACCCATACCAGCTAATGAAGGTTGAGTTGGTTTAGTTTCCAAACTAAACTTTGGTTTTGGTTTATCTTCAGTTTTTGGTTTTTCTTCTTCTATCGGTTTTTCGTCACTTTTCGGTTCCTCTGACTTTACTTCACTTGCAGGTATGGTTGTGTCGTCAACATCTTCATAAATATCATATGCCATTTGTTTTTGTTTTCCTTTCAACTTTTTGTGTTTGTTGTAAAGTTTAGAATATTTCGACTCTAAGTCAATGAGATGTTCTATAATGAACTGTTGGTCGGTAAAATATACTTTCCCATCTGTTGTCTCGAAAGCTCCTTCAGACTTCAATATTTTATTTGTGAGAGTCTGTTTCTTTTTTGAGATACTAGCCGTTCCATTTCTATGAAAAGTGACTTTGTAGTTAGGGTTTGTATTTCCAGACCTGGCACTTTCTATTATTGAATTTTTCTCTTCATCTGTAAGTTCTTTGACAGGTTTTGACAATGGTTCTGAACTTTTTGTTTGTGGTGTCAAATCTACCGTTTCAACTTCTTCGGTCATTTCATCTCAGTAAAAAATTTTAGTTTGGTTTGTTTTCAACCGGTTGTTTAGGTTTTTTAAGTCGGTCTAAAACTTCCTGAGGTATAGGAAGAACTTGACAAACACGTGGTTGTGTAACTGCTGGAAGTCGACAAATCCATCTTGAACCCATTTGTCTCAATGCTGTATTGTTCATTTCATCTCAGTAAAAAACTTTACATTCCCCACGTTTGAGGCGGTTGAGGTTGGTTATTGTTTACCCATTGTTGTGCATGGTTATATCCTCTGTTAAAGAATCTTTCACCTTGGTCCATATAGTGTCCTGCTTGGTTATAGTAGTCATTTGCTTTGTTATAATAGTTTCCTGCTTCTCTTCCTACATTGTCCATCCATCCTTGAACTTTTCCTCTTGTTTCAGGATTTGGAATAAGATTTGCTGCATCTCGTGCTACCTCCCAACCTTTCTGTACAGTTTGTATAATAGGTTGTGCTTTCTCTTTAAGTATACCTAATGTACTCAAAATCTTCCTTCCAATTCCAAATGCACCTCTGGCTAGTGTTCCAACTGCGGGTAAAAATCTGGATGCAACTCCTGCTAATGCGCCAAATAAACCCATTTCTTATAGGGTAAAAAATGACGAATCCAAACAAGGACCCCTATGTTTCTAAGGCAACAAAGAAAGCACTCATGGTAAAAATCTTTAGTTCAACACCAAATGCTTGGTTTATGGATATCTTGGAAAACATTCCGAGAGTTAGAACAGATGGACCACCATACTGGTTAATATTTGTCGGTCAAAACACAAGATACTGTGAAGCCATACCATTACAGTCCAAAAATATTTTAGATGTGAAAACTGCTTTGACAATATTCGTTGACAAATACCATCCAACAAAACTGACATCTGACTGTGAAAGTTCTTTCAAATCAGACGATATTAAAAACTATCTGCGTTCAAAAAATGTAAACCAATATTTCATTGTCGACCAAAACCATTCTGCTCTTGGTGTCATTGACAGTTGTATAAAAATCTTAAGAGACTTAAACCAACCACAAGGTGGTGAGGTAGATGAAATGTCATATGACGACAAGTATAGACACTTCTCCATGGCAAAGATGAGACAAGTTTTAAATATTTACAATAACCGTAAACAAAAAGGTTTGGGAAACCACTCCCCGAAGAAATGAAAAACAACCCCGACTTAGAGAAAGACTATATATTTAATAGTTTAGTCAAAAGAGACAAACAAGAAAGAATGCCAGGCTTCAAACTTAAGAAAGGTGACAAAGTAAAAATAGAAATACCTAAACGCGACCCATATGAAAATACTATTGACTATGACAACAATGGGAACTCGACAGGTACTCACGTTCGTGTTCGTAAAAATAGAAGAAAGTATACAAGAGAATATTATGAAGTTTTAGGCAAACATGGCAAAATGTACACACTGCAAGCAGAAGATAAAACTACTATTGTCAGACCTCGTTTCAAACTTGTCAAAGTTCAAGGTGGTATACTTTCAAAGACAGTTCCTAACAAATATAAGACAACTCCTGACGAATATGCTAAAGAAGTTGAAAATGACGACTAAGCAATTCTATACCATGCGTAAACTGTCATGTAAGGTGGCATGTAGTCTTTACTCTGTCCCGTTGTTTGTGTATATCCTGAAACGAAATGTGTATGGTTTCCTTCTCCCTGAGTGTCATCCCAGTAACAATTTATAGCAAACTTAACGTCGTCTTTAACATCATATCCTTTACCTTTTGTCATTCCTGACCAATCCCAATATCTATGCTTATGCCAACCTGCTTGAGATGTACTTAAATCTATGTAGTGACTGTGTGCAGGTAAGTTTTCACCTGAAATCGTTTTACTTCCACCTGTTTCCTTTGAAGAGTTTGCACAATACAAAAACCTGTCGACTATTTGTTCCCATGCACCAACACCAAACGTTACTTGAGGACCTCTTGCTTCCATAGATGTATAAATAGAACCTACTGGGTTCATTAAATCAAACATATGAGATATTATAGGATTGTCTCTTTTGAACTTAAAATATAGTGCAACTATTTCAGGTTTCTTCTGGTTTGTGTTAGAATATTTTTTATAATATAATCTTATGTTTTCAGGGTAGGTAAAGTCTTGACTATAATATTTATTTCTGTCATCTTCATATATAGTATACTATTCTCGTTTTTTCTATTGCATTATATCTTTTATATCTATAAAAATCTAAATATAATGTTAGCTTTTGTTCATCTACATGTGGTGTTCTAACGTCATCTCCATAGTCATAATAGTATGGTGCTGGAGCTGGGTCAGGCAATGTCATATCTGCCATTTCATAAACTCTTAAATATTTCTTTTGTTCGTCTCCATATAAGTTTAAGTAGCAGTTGTTGTCTAATGGAACTTTAACTTGTGTACCATCACTCTTTTTATAGCTTACATACATTTCATTGTTATTTTTCGGAATGAGTTTATACCGTGTACCATTTTCTAAGGACTGTACAAACTCCCATCTAAAATATTTGTTTTCTTCATAGACAGAAAAGTCACCAACCATAGTTTCAATATTTTTTGTTCCAACTAAACTTTGGTATATTTCATTGACATATGTTTTATCTGCTTTCTTTTCAAGGCTAACGTTTAAGTCTGTTATTTCAGAAGATGTATGTGTATGTCCAACGTCACTTTTCCTGTTTAAGGTTTCTTGTAAGTTTGTAATATTTGCAATGGTATGTGTATGTCCAACGTCACTTTTCCTGTTTAAGGTTTCTTGTAAGTTTGTAATATTTGCAATGGTATGTGTATGTCCAACGTCACTTTTCCTGTTTAAGGTTTCTTGTAAGTTTGCAATATTTGCAATGGTATGTGTATGTCCAACGTCACTTTTCCTGTTTAAGGTTTCTTGTAAGTTTGCAATATTTGCAATGGTATGTGTATGAGTCTTTTTAGAATATTCGTTTTCAGCTCTTGTCACTTCACTTGACATTTTATTGTCAACATATGTTTTGTCAGCTTTGTTGTCAACATCTGCTTTTGTTGCATATGTTGCATCTGCTCTGTCATGTTCTTCTTGAACTTTTTCAATGACATACTCTTTGTCAGCTTTGTTGTCAACATCTGCTTTTGTTGCATATGTTGCATCTGCTCTGTCATGTTCTTCTTGAACTTTTTCAATGACATACTCTTTGTCAGCTTTGTTGTCAACATCTGCTTTCAAAAGAAGTTCATCTATAGGTTTCTCGTTTAAAGTTCCTTTTGTTGGATTTATACAAACAGTATGGTTCCTATTGTCTTGAAATAGAAACTCATCTGTCATTGGGTTTAATGTCAGTTTTAAGTTTCCTTCTTTCAATGACTCAGATATCTTAGAATAGTTTGAAAAGTTTGTTGTGTTCTTATTTAGAGCTTGCAAAATGAGTTGTCGGTTGTGTTTTATTTCTCTCATAGACGCTGTTTCTTTCGACATTTTTATTCTAGATAAAATATGCTTTCAATAGAAAAAGAAAATTCAAGAGTTGCTACAACTAAACCATTAGATGAACTTTTTACTAACGTAGGTCAAAAGTTTGAGACAGAGACCGTAAAGCATGAAGGCTATCGTTTTGACTACCCATTGAGATGGCTAAGAGACCCATCTGTCACAAAAGCTATTGGCTTTCGTAGAATGAAGTTTGTGTCTGTAGAAGATAAAAGTTTTCCATTTATTGTAAGGTTTCATATAGATTATATATCTGAAGGGAAACGAAAAATGTGGGAAGAAATTGAGCTAATACAAGTTGACCTTTCATCTTCTCTACAGAC